TTTATCTAAACTATGGATAAGCTTTAATATTAAGATAAACATGAAGTGCAGCTGTCGACTTGTCATCTCCAGCTGTCTTCCATGGGATGATGAATCAACCTTATCTTCATATCTTCATCTTATGCCTCTAGTTGAATTGCTGAAGAAAACTCTAAGTATTGTTGACCAGAGGAGTGATGAAGATGCTCTTTCCATCGCATCCCTGGTTGTTCATCGACCCTCTGGTTGTTCTCCAGATTTAGTCAATTCTGCCTTGATGTCTTCATCGGTCTTCTGGTTCTTCATCACTTATTGTTTTTCATTACTTTTACCCTTTATGGATTATGGGGTCTAACATAGATGGTTTGTGTGTAGTTGGGAGGGAAACCCAAATAAAAAGCAATTTGATTCTATGGAGATTCAGCCCGGTGAGAGGAGATACCGCAATACGAACCTTAAACGTTGTGGATGTAATGCATGTATAAAAATCCATTTGACGAAGGATAGAACCTGTTACGAGATATACAAGTTTGTTGAGGTACATAACCATGCGTTGTTCAATATTAACAATCGTCGTTTTTTCTAGGAAGAATAGACAGATGAAGTATATAGATTTCAAAACTGTACTAAATAGTTCGAGTTACAAAGTCGGTGAGAGAAGAGCTCACCGTATTCAAACGGCATTGAACGGGGGATTTGAGCATACTCGAATTTCTGAAATTGACTTCCAGAATTTTAAGAAGGATGATGTTGCTTGTGTTGGGAATAAGAAATGTTGATCAATAAACTATCAAACAGATGGGATATTGTCCCAGGTTATTTCTTTGAATACAAGTGCAATGAATAGGAGTTCCGCAATTTTTTGGGCAGATGAAGTTGCTAGAATTAACTACAAAGAATTCAGTGATGTCATATCGTTCGACGGGACGTTTCGCATGAACAAGTAAGATTCTCGATTGCAATAAAGTTTTTAAAGTTTATTACGCGTTGCTATTTTATGGGCATATGACGTGGCTAGACTAGATACAAATAATTGGTTGATATGTGTTTCAGGCATGCCATGATTTTCGTTCCTTTTTTTGTTGTTGACAATCACAAGGCTTCCGTTGTTATCGGATTTGCTCTAATAAGTGGCGAGACAATTGAGAACTTTACATGGGTTCTAAAGGCTTTCCTAAAATATCATGATAAGCAACCAGTTTCATTATTACAGACCAATGTTCGGCAATGAAGCAAGCTATTTCGATGGTGTTTACGGAAGCCAAGCACAAACTCTGTATGTGGCACATTATGAAGAAGATGCCTTCAAAGGTAAGTAGTATTTATGGAATGCTATTGTTTTTAAATGAGGTTATTGTTTATTGTTTCATTAGTGGTAGCCATATACACGCAGGTTAGTGTCGCACTAAATCAAGATCATATGTTTAATAAAGTTATCAACAAGCTCATATGGAACATACATATTGGCCCAGCGGAGTTTGAGAGTCGTTGGCATGAGATGATCAATCAATACAATCTAGGTGGCGATCATTGGTTCACAGAAATGTATGACATCCGACACTCATGGATTCCTGCCTTTTAAAAGGACACGCCGATGTCTGGTCTAATGAAAAGAACCTCAAGATCTGAGAGTTCAAATTCGTATATTAATATATACGAATCATACTGGTTTGATTTGGTTCAATTCCTTAATAATTACGACGTAGCTATAGAGAAACAAAGATACAGACAATCTGTTCACAAAACAGTAACGAGAACCACTAATCCAAAGTTTGTTACTCCATTGCGTTTAGAAAGTCATGCATCAAGTATATACAGTCTAAATGTGTTTTTTGACATCCAAAAGAAAATAAAGAAGGTTGTATGGTTCTGTGCTATAGAGACCGACGAATGCCGAGATGATTTCAAGTCATTCGTGATAAGCCACAAGACCAAGAAATCATCTGACAACATCACCTATCTGGTATCATATCCCTAACTCACGAAACAATGGTTTTTATGTTATTTAATTTTATTTTGATTGTGGTTGTTCGCAAAATTTGTCACTTTAGGTGTCTCGTAATTACTCAATAAACACCGTCAAATGCGAGTGCAACCTATTCACGCGTAACGGGTATCTTTGTCATCACGCGTTCAAGGTACTGTTAAACGATGAAGTTGAATGCATTCTAGATAAATATGTTTTACATCGATGGAAACGACAATTAGTTCCAATACATATACAATCAGCAAGAGTTCGTTATGGCGAGGTTGATGCCGAGAAAGATACGTGTATAATTGATGTCTATTCCAAGGTCGACGACATAATAAGCATCGCCCGCAATGATAAATCTATATTGGCTAGATTGGAGCGTTATCTCGACAAATTCATGGTTGATATAGAGAAGGAAGTTCCATATGAAGACCCGTCCCAACAGTAGTTGGATGCGATTAGAGATCATTTAGGTGTTTCCATACCTGATGAGGTGGACATTCTACCACCATCTGGAATAAGGAACAAGAGTTGTGGCACTAGTAAGAGGCTGGTAAGTGTATATGAGAAAATACAGACCAATAGCAAAAAAGAAAAATGAAAATGTGCAGCGAATGGACAACGTAGTGGTCATGACTCATGTAATTGCCCATAATTGATAGATTAGTTAGAATTCAAGTATTTGGAAGTGTTATCGTTTCGGTGTAATTTGTTGACGTCAAACTTACATATGTTCATGCGACACCTTCGTCTTATGTTTTGGATATGATATGCAACTACAATTTCTTATTAGTATCTTATCCATCATAAAATAGATTTAGGTTAAATGTTTTTTATTTACCCGATAAGTACTGAAAAAACATCAATTGCGTGTTTTCTAATTAATGGTTTCGTATGGATTTGGTTTTATGCAGTTTGTTGTGCCTTATATTAATAGTATAAGGTTTTTGAATTACTAGGCAGAATTAGGAGCATAAAGGTTTTGAAGGTGATTTGCTTGATATAGCAGTTGATGCTCTTGTTTATGCTTTTAGTATTCTCGATATATTATGTGCAGTTTATGATGTGTTGTTGATATATCAAATTATGATTCCATTGTGTATGTCACCACATGTATCCCCTTTCTGTCCCGGTGGCGTGAAGTCTGAATAGTTGACACGAACATATATAGTTTTATCAACTTTTCGAGATAAAAGGTTTTATAGTTAAACATATGAACGTCATACAGATACTACGACAGAATGAAAAAGTGGCACTCTGTGTGTTTCAAACTGGTATCGAACACACAGAGACATTATATGAAACCTAGTTGCAAGTCAGAATATTCCACACATAACATGCTAGTAGTCACTATAAGTGAACATTCCATATATTGCACAGTAATAGATTTGTCCAATATGTAAAAACAGAGGATTGCAAAGCACATTTCACATTACGTATTTCTGATTCGCAGCCTTTTTATATCAAGTTTGACGTTGTATGCATATACTTCTCAGGGGGCGTTATAATTCTCATCAACTTTTAAGTCAAATCTTGCATAATCATAATCAAAATGCGTAATTTAGGTATCTTCTTATTATGATATAAAAATACACATCTACTGAAATTCTTGTATCTTAAAATAAAAAGGTTAGAACGCACCTGACCAACGTAGATAGTGTTGGAGGCAGCTAACACATTCTTACCCGCAAATTCATCAAGCAAATGTTGTCCTATAAAAAACACTACAGTAGCTAGGTGTTAGGGATTCCATCGATTAGCATGTGTAATACCATATTGTTCCATTGTAGCATATTGCAATGACAATACAATTATTGAAAGAGTCAATTACAAACAGTTTTTTGGCAATTTTGTTGATTATTGGCAAGCAAAATTGTAATCAAGTAGTCTACACATATTGAAAACATGCGAAGATCCATATGTGTAGATGTGTCGCATATGTGTATTAAACTATTCAAAACTAATATGCCAAAGAAATATGTGTTTTACGTATATTCATATACATATTTTCAATCACAAGTTGAAATATGTTACTACCAGGGGAATATGAACAATGCGAAGAAATATATATATATATATATAATAGACATACCTTCGCGAAAGATACTCCATAAACGCGAACATATTTCCTGCAAAATAGCAGGAAAGGAACTTTTTTATGTAGAAGCACAACCGATTATCATATATGAAAATCTAGATAAATGTAGCTGACGAGATTGGAACACAAGATGAATTAAGATAGTACGTACCAACAACGCCAAAAGCACGACCGACGTGAGACACATTCACATACATATGCGAAATGATACAAACATAAATTTCGTTTTTATCTAAATTAATGTTGCATAATTTCATATCTTGTTAGTCTTATTTAGTGTTGTGTGATTAATGGTTGAGTGGCGACCTCAATGGGTGAGGCCGAAGCAAGTATTTTATGGAACTGTTAAAATCCAAAATATGCAATATACCATTAGTTTAAAGGGGTTCATATGGATAAAGTACAATATCTTGATCATTTGGTGCTCACGCATACGAAATTAGATACAAAAATAGAACCAGATCTAAATTACGAAGCAGCACATAGCCTCGACCTATACAATCAAATGCATGTATGGATAGCAACTAGAATATATTGTCAAACGTCTGTTTCCAGATGTTGACAATATGTTTTTTTTTACTTTGAACTAGTTGTGATGTATGTGTATGTTGGTGTCAGACCATTCAAACAATTCAGATGATATGAAGACAAATGAACACTAGTGAATATCAACACGTTCATACATATATGAAATGAGATAAGAACACCCATACCAGTTGCATCAGCACAGTCCATGCTGTGTTTAATGTTCTTGCATGTTGTATGCCCCAATACATTCCACGAAAAAAGATAAAATGTAAAACTAGCACAAGTGAACTCAAGATCATGATGTCAGTAACTCAATACATACACAAAGCACGTAATTTTGAAGATTATGAATAGTACAATCTAGAGCTATGTCTAATACATATTACCTGAAAATGTCATCATATAATATGGTTTCTGCAACACATTTAACTCCGGATGTAGTGGCGGACAACCGGTTCATTCATTATCAAACATATAAATAATTAGGTAAAAACGAACTTTATGGACATGTGTGACCATGTTGATGTTCACGTGAACATCAAGTCAACATCAACGTATGGTCAAGTGTGATGTATATCCACACACAAACAAAGAATTATAGATTTAAAGACATTTCATTTCACAAACCAACAGGTTAGTTCATGTCCATAAACTGTTTTTCTACTATAAATAAAGTAGAGGCTAAAGATTCAAATAAAAATGAAATATCCATGTGGCAACACCAACTACAGATGCCATCTACACCTTCCCCCGACCTATACGTGTAGCCACACGTTTCTTCTTTGCATTATACGATGTCTCCATTGCAATGAATAGTTCCACATCAGTTATGATGGACGTCTTTCGGATGTTCTCGTCAATGAGTAGGATTTTCGAGTAGTACTTAGTTCGAAGATCCTTTAATTGCCTTTTCTGTTTCGTTCTCTCCTTATAAAGCCCACAATCCCATTTCCCTCCGTCGCCTCCAAAGTAGGTTTCCATACGTCGCATTAACATTACACCACAATCAACCAAACTTTCACGGGACTGCCACCTTGTCCTGATCTGATCCTGCTCCATTTCAGCATAGACTTTCCCAGCATCGTGCCCCTCTCTCAATAGGTGCATTATCATCATGTCTTGCTGAATAAATCATCAAGATGACAATTTAGATATGGTACTTATTGTGCATAGAGAATATAAGGAATAATAATGTCTACTTACCAAAACTACAGTACTAGATCCATATATATTATCAACCGTGCCATCCCAATCCTTGGAGTCTATGATCACGATCGAGGGGGGCTTCAGATCAAATACTATGATGTAAAAGAATGATTCTTCTACAATCAGTAAGAATACCTGGATTTATAAATATGTAAGCTAGTTGTTACCATTTCAATATATTTTTCTTTATTGTATGTTAATCTTCCTAACAAACGTAATATACGTACCAGGTCAATGTTACGCATACTAATCAGCTCCTTATCATTGATTGTGCAGCTTGGTATGTTATTTTTGAAACTTTCATACCTTTGGTGAACATCCAAAGCTTGGTCCTTAATGATACGATCCATCTGCGCACAACTGAAGTCATTAGTTCAATTAAAGAAGATGGACGTTTTAATGATATTACCGAAACGTCCATGGGATAGAAATAGCGTCTTGGAGAGTGTCATGGCTCTGCAATCTTTCTTCTCGATTGAGAACCATTGACCACCCATTTAAAATTTCTCGGCAAACCACGGACTGGGTTGCAAGAAATTGCAATGCCTGCCGTGTAAGTGTTCTTCCATTCGGGGTCACGAAAACTGGCTCAGTACGTATTTGCATTCAAATATTAAGAAAAATCAAACATACAAAACAGATATATTCCATACAAAAATATATTAAAAAATTGTAAGTTACAACTTACAGGATTCCTCCGATCCCTCTCAATATCCAATCATGTAACTTACGTTCATCACTTGTTACATCAAACGTAACAGCAGGTGTAACGTAGGGTGAACGTAGCTTAAAACTCAGCTTGGGATCCCTCTTTGACAAGGTAGGCCTCACACACTCCTGTATTGCTACTACATTCGAAGTATCCACAACAGCAACGACTTGTTTATCTGATGGGCTTATCCCCAAATCAAAAGATGGTGGCTCGATGTCTCCATACGAATCAATGGGCTGCTCATTGTTTCCTGACTTATACTTGACAGCATCTACACTCCCTCGCTTACATATCTTACTGGTCAGAGTTTCAGACTGATCACTACTCCTATTTCGTACGCTTCCAACCTTTTCCACCGATGATTGGAATGATGGAATCTTGACTGTTTCCCTATGAACAAACTGTGTAGAGCGCTTATTGTCCTTTGTTAGCTGCGCCAATTTCTCGTTCGAAGCCCTGTCAACCTCAACAATCACCAATGGACTTGTCCAGAATTGAGATAACGGCGACAACAAATCAGGATCAGATATGGTGGCCACCTTAGGAGGTGTTACCTCAACAAGAGCCAAGTTGGGAACGTGACTCGTCGTTGGGGGTGCATCATCTGTAGTAGTTGGCAATATTTGATCTTCTACCGTTCGTTCTTTACGATTATCCACAGTTGGTCGAGTATCCCACTTGCTCCCTTTAAATAAGCTTGCTAATTGGTACTTGAATTCCTCAAAGTCAACGTCACCCGGGAAACGTTCAATATACGATTGAAGCATCAACTCTGCCTCAATTCTTCCATAACACAGATTAGCAATTTTCTTTCCCATCATTCTCATGCATTCCTTGAAAAAAAAATCAAAACCTTATAAGACAAACAATACATGCTTTGTGTATTAAAAACTGTCTTTGAAGT